ATTTCACTGGTTACTCCATATAGCTCGGCCTCTCTCCGCAGAACAGCTAGTCACCCGCAGAGAGCATTGAACAAAGCACAAACTCCATAGCACTAGTGATGATCCTCTCTTGATGGGGATAATCAGTTACCTTGTGATAGTTTCCATTAAAAACCGTTACAAAAATCTTCATTGCATGCTTTACCTGTACTAGATATTTCCATCATTCACCTACACAATTTTACATCGTCCTTATAATTTTTCACTAGCTGGGTTACAGTCCATGATTCACTTCCAGACACCAAGACTGCCAGTCTAACTTGAAAATGCTCTTTCTCACCTCAGAAACACAACAAGCAGAATAAACATCTGCCTTCTGGATAATTTGGCTTGTCAAAATATTTTAATCACACGTACACAGCTTCATCAAATGTACACAGCTTCATCAAATGTACACAGCTTCATCAAAGGTACACAGCTTCATCAAATGTACACAGCTTCATCAAATGTACACAGCATTCATCTTGCCCCAAAATATACATTATAAATAAGACATACATTTTAGAGTCAGAACTTTTCACTGACTCCAGCATCAACCAACAATGAAATAAAATAATAATGACTGCAGGTATTCTTCTTCTTCTTCTCCTCTTCCACCTTGTACCTCAGCAAAGTGTTGGGGGGGGGGGGGGGGAATGTAACATTCGTTGATGAGCTCTCTCAAGAGCACTATTAAGACTGACGTTCATTTCTGTAAGGCTGTTCTTAATGGCATCACTCCATCTTTTCCAAGGTCTTCCGCTTGCTCTATCCCTGTTGTAACATTTCAGTGTGGCTCGCTGTGGCAGGTATTAACAGGGCATTCTTGTTGGGTGTCCAAACCATTTCATTTGTTGTTCTTTGATGACCTGTAGGACTGGCTTATTCCTAGCATTTGTCTGATTTTGTGATTTTGTATTGTTTTTCCTTGCAGGTATTAACTTTTTAAAACCCAGAAGTTTTTGCAACAGAAGCCTACTGGTGGATATACCAACCACAGACATCAATAGTGAATGGAGTAGACTTCAGGTAACTGCAGTTCTAACTTCATGAAAAACTGGACACCTCACAGTTGCTCTGCTCAAGTGCCCCCCCACCCTCCCCCACCCTATACAGATGTCCATCACCGCCCCTTGTGGAAAAAAAATTGTAAAGACTTCTTCTGCGTTCAACATCAGTCATGCTAAACACTGAGTCTTGTCTGGGTCACAAAAAGGATTGTCCGTTTAAGGTCGCCACCGGTTCCCCCATAGCTTCTCTTGGGCCAGATCCAGTCTTTGCAGGGAGAAGTTAGGGCAGTACTGTAGTATGTGCCCAGGGGTCTGTTTTTCTGCTCCACAATCACAGGCAGCAGATTCTTTTATGCCTATCCTGTGTAGGTGTATTTGAAGACCGCAGTGACCTGTCCGAAGTCTAAAAATTAATGTTTGTTCTTTCCTGTTGAGTGTGTTTATGCTGTCACTCTCTGGTATGTAATCTCCATTCTGCCTTCACTCCCGCTTGAAAGACTGCTTTAGCGCTGTTGTGGTTACAACACAGACTACCGTTTCAGCATGTTGTCCTGCTTATACCATAAAGCTTCACAGAGAGGAGTTAGATGTAGTTTCCTGTCTTTTGCTAGTTTCCTAGCTTGCGTTAATATCATATTGTGTTTCTATAGTGTCTCTTACTGTATCCATCCATCTCTTTCTTGATCTGCCTCTTGTCTTGTAGCCTGTTGTTCTCATGTAGTATGCTCTAACTGCTGGCTGGTTTTGTTCCACTCTGACCAGATGATCAGTAAAACCTTGTTAACACAAAACTCAGTTAAAACTAACGCCCGGTTAACATAAAAAAATTTAAATAATGCGGATACAAACAATACATTGCACAATTTATTGCCAGGCATATTTTGCTGTATCTCATCAGGTGCGTTACTACAGAGTTACATCAACATAAAATAAAGCACAAAACTGAATAAATTCAACTGAAATGCTGATAGTTTCTTCGATACATTGTCTCTCTTTCATGGCCGCCGGAAGCTCATCATAAATTGTGCAATGTATTGTTTGTATCTGCATTATTTTAATTCATTATGGGAAAACATTGTTTTGAATAAACAAAATTGTTTAACATGAACTCTAGATTTTCAAGTCCCTTGAAATTTGCGTTAATGAGGTTTTTACTGTATAACCATTTTTAAATGGGATATTTAGGACCTGTTTTAGCTGATGTTCAAGAAATGTAGCTGTGATGTCAAATCGAAGCAAATCAGGATAGGAAATAATGGAATTTAAAAAATGAAATTAATATTAACTTTAAAAACAAAAATGAAATAAATCTCAAAAGTCAATGTTCACCCTTACCATAAAAAAGTGTAAAGATCTGAAAACATCAAATATTTTTTTTCACTGATGAATTCAAACAATTATTTCAGCATATGCTTCATATGTATAGGGGCATAATTGTATAATTTTGACTGACTCTTTTTCACAATCTTCTCATCAATACGCCTTTTACTCTTGCCTCACTCACAGAACGAGGAACTGCTGGCCGAACAGCTGTCAAGCCGGAGACCCGGGGTCGAATACTCGGTAAGGCTAGGGAATTTTTTTTGGGGTGATCTTTGGTTCTATGAAGGAAATGGAGAGTGAGAAGCAATAATGAAATTCAGTCTGTTTAAATCACCATTGATCACTGACATCATGAGAGCTAATAGACTGAAACTGATCACTGACATCATGAGAGCTAATAGACTGAAACTGATCACTGACATCATGAGAGCTAATAGACTGAAACTGATCACTGACATCATGAGAGCTAATAGACTGAAACTGATCACTGACATCATGAGAGCTAATAGACTGAAACTGATCACTGACATCATGAGAGCTAATAGACTGAAACTGATGGGGCATGCTGACAGAATGTCAGATGATAGAGAGGTAAAAACTGCGTGCACAAGGGAGCTGAATGGTCATAGACCACGAGACAGACCAAGAAGACGACGGAGAGATAATATCCAGACAGACCTACAAACACTTTGTGGAAAAAGAACACCAATCAGAGAGATGAATGGCGGCAGGTGATATTTGCAGCAATCAACTTGGAATATCAGAAACAGATTGGAAAACCAACACTGTTTATAACTACGAAAAAGATTTTCTGAAACACCTGAACAGAACAGACCAAGTCACAGTTTTTCACTTACGTACTGGACACTGCAGACTCAATAAACACTCATATAAATTAGGTTTGAGTCAAACAGCTCTCTGCCAGTGTCTTCGTGCTGAACATACTCCAGAACATGTCCTGCAAGACTGTCCTCTCCTTGCGGAGCAACATATGGCAACACCCAGTAGAACTGTCAACTAAGCTTTGGGGAAACCTAAGAGACCTTGAAAAGACATCCCAGTTTATGGCCCACAGTGGACTATGCACATGACCAGAGATCGCTGAAGAAGAACTTGGAATGCTGAAGAATAAGAAAAAGTTGGCACTCTGTGATTACTGGACACAAAACGGACTGTCCTATGTGGAAATGACCACCCACCTGCCATGCTCAGTCTTGACTGCTGCAACTCTCACAAACACTAATGATATTCACATAATACAAATAAATGCAACCAGACTAATGAATGTTCACACTTTAATACTGTTCAAGCATTTAGGCCAGGATGACAGGTCACATGAAAGAGGTAAAAATTTAATTTCAAATCTTTATGAATCCTCAATTTCATCATTATCATCAAGTGTCTTACCAAATGGCATGGATGATCATACTTCTATATAGCTCCCAGCTGCCTACTTAAATCTATATGTAACTTTAACAGTCTGTTAAAATGTATTTGTAACATTTGTTGTCTCCTATAATCTGCATGAGACTTTAAGTATCTGATAAAACCTACACGAAACATTAAGAATGTAATAAAACCTATATGTAACTTTAAGTAAATGATAAAATCAACATGGAACTATAAGAGTCTGATATAGCTTTTATTAAACTTCGAGTATCTAATAAAACCTACATGTAACTTTAAGTATCTGCTGAAACCATGTAACTTTAAGTACTTGATAAAATTCATACTTAACTTTAAGTATTTATTTTTTTTAAAACACTACTTAATGTAACTTTCATATCTGAAACTTTAGGTATCTACTTAATATTTAATGTAACTATAAGTATCTGATAAAACACTCATGTAACTTTAGGTATATGATAAAACTGATAAGTAACTTTTAATTTGTTGCTAAAATCTTTATGTAACAAATTGCCTGCTGGAAGCTACATGTTACTTTATCTGCTAAAATCTGAATTTAATCTCTGTTTCTTAAAATCTATATTTATCTTAAGTTATCTTATCAAACCTATGTATAATATTTTATTTACCAACACTTACATCTAACTTTGCTAAAACATAGCCCTATTTGTTATACCTGTATGTAACTTTTTTTTTCCAACAAAAACCTACGTGTAAATTTGCTGAAACCTACATGTAACTTTATCTGCCAAACAGCAATGTACTAGTCAAAACTATAAGTAACTTTAATTATCTGTTGAAACCTTTAATTATTTCAAAAGTCTTTAAGTAATTTTAACTGCCAGCTAAACCATATAAGTAACTTTAATTATCTGCACAAAATCAATAAGTAACTTTAACTGTACGCTGAAAATTGTAAGTATGTTTAATTCTCTGCTAAAACCGACACGTAACGTTAACTTCAGCTAAAAACCAATGTTGTTGGCAGCACACTGACCACAGAACTGCACCGAGGCCTTGAAATGTTTACAGCGATTTGTACAGCAAGCAACTGTCTAACAAAACTGTCAACTGTCTGAGCTTCATAAAACACAGCAGTCCAGCTTCTGTCTCCTCTTTGAGTTTCAGACGCACATCCCACAATGCACTGTCAAGGAGATAGCATCATTGCCAGCATGTGCGCGTCTGATGGAGTGAAACACAGTCTGCGGTTCGTCTCTCAAGATACTCCCTGCAGCAGTCTCAGGTAGAGAATCCGTCACCTTCTTCTTCATCACAGCATCGGCACATCTTACACTTGCAGCAAAGAATGCACGGTGCCGCCAGCAGCAGGAAAGGGGAGGCAACCAATAGCAAGACACCAAATCCAGCAAATATGCCAACTACCTGCAGCAGAAATAAGTTAAACAGTTAATTATGCACGAAGAAATAAGTTAAATAGTTAATTATGCACAAAGAAATACTCAGAAAAGTATAGGTTTCTGCTGAATGTAATCATCATCATCATCTCATTCCACAGTCCTGAAAAAGGTACTGCAGTACAATCAACCTCAAGGCACATGGGGTATTTTCATGTGGGCTCAGACCTCTGCTGACTGTTCCCTTGAGAAAAAGGGTATCCAATGTCTCCTATCTTCACCCTGAAGATGGCACTGATATGCTTCTCTCTGAGGTGAGGTAACAGTGTTATCTGAAGCATGTGTGAAGATGTTGCTATAAAAACCCTTTACATACCATTGCTGCTTCATGCACATGGGACATGACCCTTTTTGTTTCAAACCACTTGGAACCCAATGGGTTAAAATTATGCTGGCTACCTTTATTTCTTAGGAAATTTCTTGGCACCCATTTGGCTGGGTCGTCAAGGAAGTCAAGTTTTTTTTTTAAATCTGCATATGAAATTGTAAATGTTTTAAGAATAATGTCCAGATAATACTATAAATGAAACTGCAAGTTTTGAAGTATAAATAGAGATGATGCTATAATTAAGTGGTAAGTACTGAAGTAGATGGGAAGCCAGACTTTTTTTCAAAAATAACCTTGGCTTTCAGGTCAACCCAACCTTGATTGGGCACCAGGTAAAGTCAAGGGATATAAAGGCGTCCCAATGACCACATCACACCAAATGCCTACAGGTCTATAAAGTATCAGTCTAGCCCTTTATTTCCTTAATGGTCCTTTACTTTATTTACTGAAGTATATGTTTAGATGCTGCTATAATAAAGTAGTAGGTACTGAAGTGTATGTTAAGCTAATGCTATGAAGGTGAAGGTGATAGGATCAACTTCATTACACCAAGTTTTATCCCATACGGCTCAGTCCCTCTCCACAAAACAGCTAGCTGCCGGCCGAGAGCACCACACAGAGCACAACCTCCGAAGCTCCAGGTGACGAATCCCTGTGGATCTATCAAAATTGCACTGGTGAACTGAACGGCGCATTCGTAAAATGAACCAATAACTTTCAAAGCGTGAGGCAAAGGGCTTGACCACTTTGCCATGGCGACCCATAAATAATGCTATTACAAAGTGAAAAGTACCCAAGTATAAGTAGCAGTCATTTGAAACCGTTCCAATGGTTATATTACAAAAGAGCATGACAGAAATATCAACAGGTTGCGTTGGGATTAAACAAACCATTCAAATCAATTATTGCTTAGGTAGGTGGTGAATGCCATCCACAAAACAGGATTATGGTTGCTCACTTAACCAAGTGTTTACTGCATGGACGATAAGCATGTTCTCTTTTATTCAGTGGTCAGTACTTATCAAATGACTATAAAATTATTATCCTCAAAGCATGAAATTATGCTTTGTGCAGAATGAACAGGTTTCAAATGAAAGCTCCTTATATATTTAGAGATGATGCTATATTAAAGTTGCAAGTACTGAAGTATATTTATAACTGTGGCTATAATAAAGCTTAAGTATTGAAGTTTACAAAGAGATGCTGATGCTATAATAAAGTTGTAAGTATTTAACTATATGTAAAATGATGCTATACAATGCGATGTTCTGTTATGTTCTATATGAATGCTCTTGAAGTTATATAGACTGGAATATTTGTACAGATAATGATATAATAAAGCTGTCAGTACTGAAGCATTTGCCAAGATGATGTTCTAATGATGCTACAAGTACTGAAGTATTTGCCAAGATGATGTTCTAATGATGCTAACAAGTACTGAAGTATTTGTCGAGATGATGTTCTAATGATGCTACAAGTTCTGAAGTATTTGTCAAGATGATGTTCTAATGATGCTACAAGTACTGAAGTATTTGTCGAGATGATGTTCTAATGATGCTACAAGTACTGAAGTATTTGCCAAGATGATGTTCTAATGATGCAACAAGTACTGAAGTATTTGCCAAGATGATGTTCTAATGATGCTACAAGTTCTGAAGTATTTGTCAAGATGATGTTCTAATGATGCTACAAGTACTGAAGTATTTGTCAAGATGATGAACTAATGATGCTACAAGTACTGAAGTATTTGTCGAGATGATGTTCTAATGATGCTACAAGTTCTGAAGTATTTGTCGAGATGATGTTCTAATGATGCTACAAGTTCTGAAGTATTTGTCAAGATGATGTTCTAATAATGCTACAAGTACTGAAGTATTTGTCGAGATGATGTTCTAATGATGCTTCAAGTACTGAAGTATTTGTCAAGATGATGTTCTAATGATGCTACAAGTACTGAAGTATTTGCCAAGATGATGAACTAATGATGCTACAAGTACTGAAGTATTTGTCGAGATGATGTTCTAATGATGCTACACGTTCTGAAGTATTTGCCGAGATGATGTTCTAATGATGCTTTAAGTATTGAAGTATTTGCCGACATGATGTACTAATGATGCTACAAGTTCTGAAATATTTGCCAAGATGATGTTCTAATGATGCTACAAGTTCTGAATTATTTGTCAAGATGATGTTCTAATGATGCTACAAGTACTGAAGTATTTGCCGAGATGATGTACTAATGATGCTACAAGTTCTGAAGTATTTGTCAAGATGATGTACTAATGATGCTACAAGTTCTGAAGTATTTGCCGAGATGATGTTCTAATGATGCTTTAAGTACTGAAGTATTTGCCGAGATGATGTACTAATGATGCTACAAGTACTGAAGTATTTGTCGAGATGATGTACTAATGATGCTACAAGTACTGAAGTATTTGTCAAGATGATGTACTAATGATGCTACAAGTTCTGAAGTATTTGTCAAGATGATGTTCTAATGATGCTCCAAGTATTGTAGTATTTGTCAAGATGATGTTCTAATGATGCTTCAAGTACTGCAGTATTTGTCAAGATGATGTTCTAATGATGCTTCAAGTATTGAAGTATTTGTCAAGATGATGTTCTAATGATGCTTCAAGTATTGTAGTATTTGTCAAGATGATGTTCTAATGATGCTTCAAGTATTGTAGTATTTGTCAAGATGATGTTCTAATGATGCTTCAAGTACTGCAGTATTTGTCAAGATGATGTTCTAATGATGCTTCAAGTATTGAAGTATTTGTCAAGATGATGTTCTAATGATGCTTCAAGTATTGAAGTATTTGTCAAGATGATGTTCTAATGATGCTACAAGTACTGCAGTATTTGTCAAGATGATGTTCTAATGATGCTTCAAGTACTGCAGTATTTGTCAAGATGATGTTCTAATGATGCTTCAAGTATTGTAGTATTTGTCAAGATGATGTTCTAATGATGCTTCAAGTACTGCAGTATTTGTCAAGATGATGTTCTAATGATGCTTCAAGTACTGAAGTATTTGTCAAGATGATGTTCTAATGATGCTTCAAGTATTGAAGTATTTGTCAAGATGATGTTCTAATGATGCTTCAAGTACTGAAGTATTTGTCAAGATGATGTTCTAATGATGCTTCAAGTATTGAAGTATTGTCAAGATGATGTTCTAATGATGCTTCAAGTATTGAAGTATTTGTCAAGATGATGTTCTAATGATGCTTCAAGTACTGCAGTATTTGCCGAGATGATGTTCTAATGATGCTTCAAGTACTGCAGTATTTGTCAAGATGATGTTCTAATGATGCTTCAAGTATTGAAGTATTTGTCAAGATGATGTTCTAATGATGCTTCAAGTACTGCAGTATTTGCCGAGATGATGTTCTAATGATGCTTCAAGTACTGCATTATTTGTCAAGATAGTGTGCTGATGGTGCTTCAAGTACCAAAATATCTGTCAAGATAATGTTGTTATGATGCTTCAAGTACTAAAGTATTTGTCAAGATGAAGCTATTCTGAAGCTGCAAATACTGAAGCATATATCAAAATCATGGTACAGCAACAAGTAAACTAGGTGATTACCATGACCTGTTACCCTCAGGTATACAATTGAGAGTTATAGAACTGTAGAAAAGCAGTATTCATATGCTACTAATCAAGGCATGTGGTGATAATGATTTGACATGATAGTATAATGAAATCACCAGTACTAGACACTGGACTGTTGCGTACCTGTGTTCTGTGCCAGATAACCGATGCTCGTGAGTGCCCCAGTTTATTTTTACAAGGTCCCTTGTCATAGTGTCGGAGAAGAAAATCATCCTGTTGAAGATAAAACCGAAAGTCAGATGAAACATGAGTGATCAGAAATAACTCCTTCATAATCATATGTGTTAGAATTTTTTTTTTAACCTTTATATTTAAAAGACCTAAGATTGCCACATTGTCCTTATTTTTTAACTTTCTTCAACTCTTCTTCTTCTTCATGTTCACTAGCTGTAAAACATGGTCTTGTTGCAGAAGTTGAGTTTTGCAGGCAACAACCATCAACAACTGGTAATTCAGTGTCTAAATAACAATCTGATGGCTGACATTGTTTTGTCTTGATATCTCTATTTCTTGTGTGATGCTGGACAAGGCTCAGGGGAAATCACTCTGCAGATCAAGCCGTTAGCGCTTTTCTGTTTTAAATGACTGTTAATAGTTTATTTATAATTATAATGAAAAACAAAATGTGACACCCGCTGGAAACTCCCTGGTACTCCCCCCCCCCCCCCCCCTTTTCCTTTTCCGATGGAGCACACAGCTCAGGTTGAAAACCACTGCACTACTCATAATTTTATAGACTAAGTGACACTTCATGTGCAATGTAGTTAATAGCACAAAGGTTGCCTTTACCTCCCGGGACATTTTCTGGTACCTATTTTAAGTTGGGCTGACCTGGCAAATTTAAAAAAAAAATCACCAAGAAGAAAAATGACAGGCCTACTAAAAGAGTTAAAACTGGTGCAGGAACAAAAGAAACAAATGAAAACTGGTGTAGGATCATAATAAACGAATGAAAACTGGTGCAGGAACATAAGAAATGAATGAAAACTGGTGCAGGAACATAAGAAACGAAAGAAAACTGGTGCAGGAACATAAGAAATGAATGAAAACTGGTGCAGGAACATAAGAAATGAATGAAAACTGGTGCAGGAACATAAGAAACAAAAGAAAACTGGTGCAGGAACATAAGAAACAAAAGAAAACTGGTGCAGGAACATAAGAAATGAATGAAAACTGGTGCAGGAACATAAGAAATGAATGAAAACTGGTGCAGGAACATAAGAAATGAATGAAAAATGGTGCAGGAACATAAGAAACGAATAAAAACTGGTGCAGGAACATAAGAAACTAATGAAAACTGGTGCAGGAACATAAGAAACAACTCACATCAAGAGACTGCAAGCAGTACCAGCAGAAGACATGCTTACACCTCTTGCACATCATCTGGGCGCAGCCATCATTGCGCTCTATGGGGACATGACACACAGGGCACCTCTTGATCTTTGCATCTTCTGTGTTGTGGTAGGGGATCCTGCAAACAGAACATAAACATATATATTACCAATAACTCATCGTCGTCTAGCAAGTCCTTTTACAAAACATCATTCTTATCACAGCCCATCTGAAAGAAATTTGATCTCTCTCCAGTTCGCCTGACTCGTGCACTTTCCAACTGCCGATGTCTCTTATATCCTGTGCCCATCTTTGCTGTGATCAGCTCCTGCTCCTCTTACCTGGTACCATGTCCCCTGTCACTATTCTTTCCAATCCGCCATGGCACCTGATACGGCCAAAATGCCGTTTCCAAAACAAGGTGCTTTTTAACAGCCATTCTTCTTTGTTGTTCAGAACTTTATGGATGTTGGTATTTCTTTTCTTCTTGGTCTATGGCATTCTGAGAATCTTTCTGTAGCATTTCAAATCAAACACTTATTTTTAATTTCCATACAGGAATTGAAGGACATGGCTGTCCAGATGGGACTGGAGGGTAAGGAAATGACCGAGTGGATTAAAACCACGGAACGTGAGATGAGGATGGAAGCCCGTGAGGCAGAGAGGCTCAGAATAGAATCTGAGAGGGTGCAAGAAACAGAGAGGCTCAGAATAGAATCTGAAAGGGTGCAAGAAACCGAACGGCTCAGAATTGAATTTGAGAGGATTCAAGAAACTGAACGACTCAAACTGGAGTCGGAAAGAATGAGATTGGAACAGGAGGTGAGATTAAGAGAATTGGAACTTCAGGCACAGAGAGAGGGTAATAGACCCAGATCTCCAACACCTGATATTGATGGTGCATCAACGCACAGTAGCTCAGCTCAAGCGATGAACTTTCCTATGCCAGTCTTCGACCCGAAGGCTGAAAATATTGAGCATTCTTAACTTTCTTCTTCTAGTCGAGTTTGAGAATTGAGGTGGAGGTAGTCACTGCTGCCTTCTGCTGGATTGAGAATCAGCTGTACACACATGTCGTAACTGTAACTGACTCACAAATTATGTTGAGAAAAAAGGAGACAGGGTGCTGAATTTTAATGTACCCAAGCAGACATGGAATCAGCTAAAAAAATCTTAACTTTAATGTACCCAAGCAGACATGGAATCAGCTAAAATCCTAACTTTAATGTACCCAAGCAGACGTGGAATCAGCTAAAATCTTAACTTTAATGCACCCTAGCAGACATGGAATCAGCTAAAATCTGAACTTTAATGTACCCAAGCAGATATGGAATCAGCTAACATCTTAACTTTAATGTATCCAAGCAGACATGGAATCAGCTAAAATCCTAACTTTAATGCACCCTAGCAGACATGGAATCAGCTAAAATCTTAACTTTAATGCACCCAAGCAGATATGGAATCAGCTAAAATCTTAACTTTAATGCACCCAAGCAGATATGGAATCAGCTAAAATCTTAACTTTAATGTACCCAAGCAGACATGGAATCAGCTAAAATCTTAACTTTAATGTACCCAAGCAGACATGGAATCAGCTAAAATCTTAACTTTAATGTACCCAAGCAGACATGGAATCAGCTAAAATCTTAACTTTAATGCACTCAAGCAGACATGGAATCAGCTAAAATCTTAACTTTAATGCACCCAAGCAGACATGGAATCAGCTAAAATCTTAACTTTAATGTACCCAAGCAGACATGGAATCAGCTAAAATCTTAACTTTAATGTACCCAAGCAGGCATGGAATCAGCTAAAATCTTAACTTTAATGCACCCAAGCAGACATGGAATCAGCTAAAATCTTAACTTTAATGCACCCAAGCAGACATGGAATCAGCTAAAATCTTAACTTTAATGTACCCAAGCAGACATGGAATCAGCTAAAATCTTAACTTTAATGTACCCAAGCAGACATGGAATCAGCTAAAATCTTAACTTTAATGCACCCAAGCAGACATGGAATCAGCTAAAATCTTAACTTTAATGCACCCAAGCAGATATGGAATCAGCTAAAATCTTAACTTTAATGCACCCAAGCAGACATGGAATCAGCTAAAATCTTAACTTTAATGCACCCAAGCAGATATGGAATCAGCTAAAATCTTAACTTTAATGCACCCAAGCAGACATGGAATCAGCTAAAATCTTAACTTTAATGCACCCAAGCTGATATGGAATCAGTTAAAATCTGAACTTTTATGTACCCAAGCAGATATGGAATTGGCTAAAATATGAACTTTAATGTACCCAAGCAAATATGGCATTAGCTAAAATTGAACTTTAATGCCCCATGTAGAACTTTAATGCAAACACCCCCCCCCCCCCCTCCCCTTTCTGCCCAACAAGCATGTCATAAAAGGACTAATTAGAGATGTTTTCTTTGAAGTCAAGTGCAACTGCCTGAGAAGTGAGGAAACAACACTATACACACAAAGAAGTCAGAAACGTAAAAAGTACTGCATTTAAAACTGGAACAAGATCAAAGTCTAAAAGTGGCGAACAACCAGAACTTTCCTCTGGAGTTTACAGCCAATGAATGTGAAGAAGAAGAAGATACACTCAAGATAACAGCAGGAGCAAAATATAACAAGTAATATATGTTGATATGGCTTTCACAATCTTCTGCTCCTTTATCATGCTGAATACAAAAAGTAAATGAGAAGCCGTGTAGACAGCAGGAGATAGTAAACCTACCCTGCTTCCTCCAGCGGTGCAGCAGTGACTACATCATCACATGACTTGGGTGCATGCCATTTGGTCTTGCATATGGAGCAAAACTGTAAACCACACTGGAGACAAAAAAGCATAAATGTAAGACAAGCAAATATGGGAAGGACAGATAAGTACATAATAACAACGCAAATATAACAGTACACAATGGACCTAGAAGAAAAAGAAAAACGTTACCTTCTGTACCTTCCGAATGTACAGAAAGTCAACGTTTTTCTTCTTCTTCACATTCTGAACATCAAGGAGAACTGGCTGACAACAGCATTCTGGGATATTTTTTTCATGTTAGATATCATGGTCATCATCATCACGTGCCTTGCCAGCTGGTGTAGGCGTTTCATACATCTCCACAGATGTCAGTCTGTGGGGTTCTGGATCAATTCCACTGATGATACTCCCCCCCCCCCCCCCCCATGCTACTGTATTTAGCCATCCGCCATCATTTCTTTTGATCTGCCTCTGCCTCTTCTAAGGGTGATCTTTCCAGATGACGTCCACCTCGAGTGTTAGACGTCACGGGTTCAAGTCCCAGTGAAGGCGGGGATTTTTTCACGTGGACTTCTAATAATTTCTCCTGGTCTCTGGGTAGTAAGATCGAACGCCTGTCTGTATTGTTGCGCACATAAAATAATTAATTGGCAGTCGAAAATTGAAAAAGAGTAGCATAACAGCGCTGCCCAGGCAAAATTTGGAGTTCCAGATCTTGAGTTTTGTGTGCACATGCATTTTACAGATCTGGTTTATTTGTATGCAGACAGTTGGTTTCTCAGGCAGATGCACTCTGCCGCAGAAGGAAATACCCCCTAATTAGCGGCCTTTTAGGACATGCAGAGGATCTATTCTCTTTTCTCTCAAAACGGGACCTTGGCACATACACAGGGACAACAATTTGTGTCTGTCCCACACTCCATCTAAAGATAGAAAAGAAAAACAAAATCAAAAATACATACTGTTGGACACTGTACAGGCATGGAGGAGGATGCTGCCCTGGCCGCACCATGTGACTGGGAGTAACAAACATGGCAGACAGTTTCGCAGCCAATCTCTGGACAGAATGTTCGATTGGGGTCAAGGTCAACCTCTAGAGATTAAAGGAAAACATTACAAATGAATATATATATATATATATATATATATATATATATATATATATATATATATATAATATATATATATATATATACACACACAGAGACAAATATAAGATGTTAATACATGTAGTCAATTATGTGCTTTATAAAAGATCTTGTTTTACTATTTGTTGGAATTTACCTCAGTGTTAAGCTACTGATTATTTTAAAGTAAAACAATGATAAACTATTGATATCTCAATGACTGATTATGTCAGTGATAAACTACTGATTATGTCAATGATAAACTTACTGATTACATCACAGTGATGAACTACTTACTGATCAGCTACTGGTTATGTCAATGATAAACAAATGATCATGTAAATGATAAACTACTGATTATGTCATTGATAAGCAACTGATCATGTGAATGACAAACTACTGATTATGTCATTGATAAGCAACTGATCATGTGAATGACAAACTACTGATTATGTCAATTATAAACAACTGATCATGTGAATGATAAACTACTGATTATGTCAATGATAGGCAACTGATCACGTAAATGATAAACTACTGATTATGTCAATGATAAACAACTGATCACATATATGATAAACTACTGATTATGTAAATGACAATCAAAGATAGCAGGGTTATCCAACTCAGGGGCTAAAATTTAGAAAATGGGGGTCAACACGGGCAAAAGACCTGAGTCCGGGCAGTAGAAAGATCATTAACACAATACAACGATCCGCGTGCCACTTGCCAGGCCTCAGCGGGCCAGACTAGTTCTGCTTTACAGGATGTTGCAGAACCATGGCATTTTTCGGCTGCCTGTGACATTACTAGGCAATTTTTACATTCAATAGTTTGTCACTGCTTACTGAATAGTCAGCTATCGATACCACTGCTGAAACCAATGCAAGGCAGTCTGCTATCAAATTGCCTGCAGTTGGAATCTAATACGGCACCTCAGAGTTTGGAAGTGCCCTCATTGCTGATGTTTTCATGTTTTATGAATAGTTCTGGCCTTAGCATAAAATAATAAGACACTGAATCAGTTACTACACAACATAGCTTACCTCTCTGAAAAGTCAATCTTTTGTACCTCATAAATGTCTGTCTATCAACCAGTTTTTCAATCTAAGCGGAGGTAATCAAATCAGAAAATATAGAGACTTCATCCACACATATACTCTGGATGTGTACAATTAATCATTAGGAAAAGCTTGATTTTATTTTCAAAGAACATCTTGAATACGAGACACATTTAACATTTTAAAACTCTTTCAGTCCAAAGGAATCTGCAACCATGACCTGACTGCAAGAACATGTTAAAAGGGGGGTGTGGCCAGACAAGAGCACTCTGCACAAAGGCCCCCCCCCCCCCCCCCCAAAAAAAAATAAGAAACTAACACAGAACTGGTGTCGTGAGCGGATACACACTGCGGGATTTACTAAGGAAGGGATCTGAGCACTTATGGACTGAATGGTTCGATGCGCATTCAGGTTAATCTGTCGACTAACTAATTAACTAACTTACTAACAAACTAACTAGAAGGCGAGATGCACGAAATTTTGGTCTTACTTTACTACCACTTGGGCCACTGATGCTAAACCCTGTGTAAAGTTATGAAGAATGTTTGCTTTGTTTGTCGACCTGAAAGTCTTCCACTTGAATCCTTCTTTAGCTAGATTTTTATTTTTTTTAAATTAACAACATGGGTTTCCAGGTTGACTCAGCTTAAACTGAATACCAAAAATGTTCGGGCAAATAAAAGTTACCTGTATGAAGGGGTTAAACACATTTTTTTGGGTCACTGTAACTTCATAATAAGCTTATGATGTCCTCATTTACTTATCTGTGTCAATAAAACCCCCGTTTTTTTGGTCAAAAGGGAAGCAGTTATTTCTTTGCTCAATTTGTGTTATTACTTCCCTTTATTTAAAAAAAAAAATACCCTCTGCACAAAATATAACTAAATTTGACAAAACTTTCTTTTTTATGACTCGGGAGCCGCGATGACTCAGGAGGTAGCAGACCAGCCTGTCTCTTTGGTGGTCATAGGTTTCAACCCCCTGAATTTAAAAAAAAAACTGACCAAGACAATTCTTTTCTGCCTCTTGTTCTCTAACCTGATGTTTTTTAGTGTACAGTCTCAGAGAATTAGAAGAATGGATTTATGTGTAAGGAAATTTTGAAAAAGGTCAACAACAACAACATAACAACAACAACAACAAAGATTTTACAGGGTTAAAGATACATTTTACATTTGCATTAAATTATGACAAATGTTGACAATTAAAATTTATTCTAAATTATGAAGAGGCGTCGCCTAGGCACTCGCGCGTGCGGATTGGAAAGTGGTGGGTTCGTTACCTGGCAGAGCCAACTGTTTTTAACAATGACATTGACTCCTAGGTCGACCCAGCCATGAGTGGGTACCGGCTGCAGTCCTGGGAAGTAAAGGCGGCCAGCTTGATGCTGACCCGTCACCCGTTTGTGCCAATTGGTCTATAAAAATATAGGTCTAGCCCTAAATGCCCTATACGCCTAAAGGCATGGAAAAGGGACCTTTACTTTATTAACTAAATATGAAGAATGTTAACATTTGACATTTATACTAAATGATAACGAATGTTGACACCTGATATTTATACTAAATTATGAAGAATGTTGATGCTTAATATCTATACTAAATGTTTTAGAATGCTGACATTTAACATTATATTAAGTTATGAATAACTGACAATCTATCTTAAAAACAGCATAAATTAAAAATTTACACTAAAATAGTAAGTATTTTGACAACCTATCTCGAAGACAGGATACATTTAAAATTTACACTAAAATAGTATTCTGACAACCTCGAAGACAGGATACATTTAAAATTTACACTAAAATAGTTAGTATTCTGACAACCTCGAAGACAGGATACATTTAAAATTTACACTAAAATAGTTAGTATTCTGACAACCTATCTTGAAGACAGGATACATTAAAAATTTACTTCTTTTATAGTCATCTTTCCCTGTCTTGTACACTGACCATCGGGGCAGGTGAGGTCTGAGATCATCCCGTCTGCTATCATTACTGACAAGTACTGACGCATGCACTGCAATGAAAAAATATTAAGCTAAAACACATGCTGTAATCAACGTCAGAGTTGCTTTCATAAACAAGAATTATTACTAAATCATCATCACTGTAGGAATGGAAGAGGAAGCCTATGCAAAATACTGAATGATGGCATCAAGCACAGACTTAGAGAAATGAAGATCAATGAATGCAATGCACTAGAAAAAGCAAAAACAAGATCCTTATAAGACTTACATTGTTACACCTTGAAAATGCATCTGGGCTTGAAAACACAGATCTTTACATCTCTCCTGTATATTCTGAGGTAACTGGAGGCAGTGGTGTAAGGGAGAGAGGTAGGGGAGGGGGTGTCATCATGAGAGGGGGGGGGGAGTGGCTAAAGACTGCATGTTTATCATTTTAAACAAATCTGTGTGTGGATAATAGGTGGGGTGGGGTGTGTGACAGGAAATGGTACTACATGACCTTGCTATGCCACTGGCTGGAGGAAGAGGAGAAGAAGAAGGAGAAAGAAAAAACACCATTACCATGTTTGTTAGCATCTTACCATCTTTTCAGATGATAGTCTTACACTGTGTTAGGGGAAGGCACAGAAATCACAGCCCATAGTGACAGTGAGTGTGACTAGCAAGATATTAATGTTTAGAAAAGCCCTCCACAGTTACAGCATGGGATTTCAGGGCAGTTGTTGCCATCATATGACTTTTCTGCAATCCTTTTCTCCTTTATCCTCTTCTTTTGTTTCTTCTTCTTAGTGGCACTGCTAGGAGTTACAAGGGGATCTGGCTGACTTTCGACATTCAGGAAAAGGCGAGACCAATATACAGTCAGTTACTGGTACCATCTGAAATTTAACTTTTTGCTTGCTGCTGAAGACGGGGACTGAGCACTTATGGGGGTGTCCTGAGTGCTGTGATGATGATTTCTAATTCAACATTCAACATTCTTCTTAGTGTTCACCAGCTGTAAATTCCAGCACAAAGTTCTAGTTGTGCACCAACTTGTAGACTTTACCCTTGTTTCAAAACTGTACTTTTGCATGCACATCATTCTTACAAATCTGGCTTACAGATCTGGCTTACAGATCTGGCTTACAGATCTGGCTTACAGATCTGGCTGACTTGCATGCAGACTTTGGTTCCTCACCGCTCAGGCAGATGCGCTCCAATTTCAGAGGAAGAAATCCATAAATAGTCACATTTTACAAAAGGCTTCTTGTGGGAGCAGTTGGTATATTCTTGTGTCCCTCAGAATTGAGCTCTGGAACACACACAAGAACTTTTTATCCTACTTTCTTAACCCCCCTCCCCCCCCCCACCTCCTTTCCCTATATGGAGCACAGTTCATGGTGCCCTGTTCAACTTCAATATCTATAACAGTCATGTCCTGCTTGCACATATCTTTATATCATACTAGAGGCTAACGTCAACATGTTCTAGCCAGCGCATTAAATGTGGGCAGCCTTAGTTTGTCATCTCACATGATCTTTACTCTCTGATCAGGTCAACAACTTGAAGGCTTTAATGGACTGTCTGCCATCCAGCAATACTTGACCAGAAGGCCTTTTTGAGTTAGACATTCAGTGACAAGAAGATTAAACTCACCATTTCACAAAAGAGACACTTGCACTCTGCCATCTCATGCATTTCTTCCAGGGGAATGTCTGTAAGACACAACTTGCACAAGATGTGTGAATCAATGGCCAGGTCGACAGTGTGCCCCGACACACAGTAGGTTGCCATGTCAGCCTCTAGAAGGAAGACAACAACACAGACTTGTAGGCATAGTTCATCAGGAAACAAATGTTATGTTATCACAATCAACGGTGCTTTATTAATATCCTACCCCAAACAGGGGAAATCCACAGGTCACAGGACAGTCTAATATTTCAGGTGATGGTGGATAGGCTGCAGTCGTGGGACCTAGGCTGCATGCAGTCATAGGACCTAGGCTGTACTCTCTTGTGGGACGTAGGTGGCTTGGGGTTAGGGCCAGTTCTAGATGTTTTGAGGTCGTTAAAAGCATCAGAAAGCCAGTAAATTCAGTCTTACCATCCTCTAAAATGTTGGACTGTCCTGTGGCGTAATCTGGGGTAGGATATAAAACAAAACCTAATTGACATCTTTGCACACTGGGCATCCCCATGCGTGCTCAGTGCTCTGATGCAGCAGCCACTTCAGGTACCTCTACTGTTCCCATGAGGAGTCGGTTATGGTATCTCCGGTTTTTACCTCAAAGACGGCACAGTCGTGCTTCACCAAGCATAACTCTTTGGTCATGCAGTCATGTTAGCATCAGATATTCGCTATTATCTCCCAACCTGGTCTGTACAGCGTTGATGATATCAGCTATGTCCATGCTTCCATTTGCATTGGTGCAGTGTAATTCTCCTCTCCATGCCCCACAGACCATGTCAAATCTTGCAGTAGCAGACTTCATCATGTTCAACAGCAGTATAAACTCCTGGCAGATAGTTTTAGTTGTTTTTCCACTTCTGGACTTAAGTCTTGTTCCATTTTACAACATGGTTGCTGGTGGGGGGTGTGGTAGGTCTATTTTGTCTTTCCCACAACGGGTGCTCCACAACCTCTTCTTTCAGGCAGAAGCACTCCGATTTCATAAGAAAATACCCCTAATTAAAATTGCCTAATAAATCAACTATTTGAATGACACAATGTTGATAAAACTGTCTTAAATATTAGTAGTACAATTTCTATTTTAATCACAAACCAAAAAGTGTAAAATAAAGCAATGTTTGAAACAATAATACAAAGTACATAATTGTCTTAAATAAACAATCACATGATACATAAAATACCCCAACCTCCACCCCCAAATGGATAACAGGCCCTCAACGAACTCATGCCAAATCATCTATTCTGTACTATTGCATGCAGATAACCCCATGTCCTCCCCATCTTTTAGAATTCACTCTCTACCTCTCTTCTCTGCGTCCTCTTTCTTGCGGGGGGGGGGGGGGGGGGGGGATGTCTTGTCTTTATTTCTATGGCCCTGTGGGTTCCAGTGCAAAGACATTCTAGTTATATTGTTCTCAGGTTTTCTCAACGTGTGTCACATTCAACGCTGGCATCTTTTCTTCACCTCTAGATCCACTGGAACTTGTTTAGTTCTCTTCCAAAGCTCAACATTAGTGGATACCTTCATTCTCTCTATTCTGAGCAGAATTATAAAATAACAAATACATAGCCTGAGAACTGGATCAACACTTTATAAACCAATTATAACCCTGAGAGGACTGAAGTGGATATTTCTGTGAAAGCTGCTGCTGCTCCCACTGCTGTTGCTGCTGCTGCTCCCTATGCTGTTGCTGCTGCTCCCTACTACTACTACTACCACCACTAAAGTATGTATGTACTGCTTTTTAGCTCAATTTCTTAAGCATAAGGAGTTAAATTAACATAAACCCCCCCCCCCCCCCCCCCCCACCCAAAAAAAAATCCAGGTATAGAAGTTCTTTATTAAGTATCTATTTATATATTCCCTTTTATTTCAAATATAAGATTTTTGTCAGCTTATTATTATTATAATTATTTTTGTTACACATTTAAACAAGTCGTCGACAAAAAACCCTCCATCCCGCAAATATTTAGGAGAGGTGCTGAAGCCCCAAAATTATTAATTTCTGCCAGTGCCCCTATTATTGGTTAGATGTAGGTTTAGCATAGGCTTCTTCTAGCCACCAAACTAAATAAGTTTTCTGAGGCTTGTTAAAACTGCGTACCCTGGCACGCTCATGCTTGACTCATAAGGAAAGCAAGTAACAGGGGCATTGTGGCCTAAACTGTATGTCGTAAGAGGCAAGTAAGGTGAGACTGCAGGATAGGAACTGCCTCATTCTGGTGTTTCTAAACTGTCAGAAATAAACAGATGGAGTTGAAAGACTGAAGAAAAATATGACGGTTAGGGTAAGGGGGAGGGGGTAGAGGACGACAAGAATAAGCAGAAGGGTTGAAGAGGAGGAGGATGAAGAAGAGGCATCAGCAGCAGTAAGCAGGAGGAGGAGGATGAAGAAGAGGCAGCAGCAGCAGCAAGCAGGAGGAGGAGGATGAAGAAGAGGCAGCAGCAGCAGCAAGCAGGAGGAGGAGGAGGATGAAGAAGAGGCAGCAGCAAGCAGGAGGAGGAGGATGAAGAAGAGGCAGCAGCAGCAGCAAGCAGGAGGAGGAGGATGAAGAAGAGGCAGCAGCAGCAGCAAGCAGGAGGAGGAGGAGGAGAAGAGGCAGCAGCAAGCAGGAGGAGGAGGATGAAGAAGAGGCAGCAGCAAGCAGGAGGAGGAGGAGGAGAAGAGGCATCAGCAGCAGCAAGCAGGAGGAGGAGGAGGAGGAGAAGAGGCATCAGCAGCAGCAAGCAGCAGGAGGAGGAGGAGGATGAAGAAGAGGCATCAACAGCAGCAGTAAGCAGGAGGAGGAGGAGAAGAGGCATCAGCAGCAGCAAGCAGGAGGAGGAGGAGAAGAGGCATCAGCAGCAGCAAGCAAGAGGAGGAGGAGGATGAAGAAGAGGCAGCAGCAGCAGCAAGCAAGAGGAGGAGGAGGAGGAGAAGAGGCAGCAGCAGCAGCAAGCAAGAGGAGGAGGATGAAGAAGGCTAAAACGTTACCGACGCTGCCAACATTTTCAACATCATTTATTATATGGATGGCTCAATGATCTCTCTCTCTCTCTCTTTCTCTCTCTCTCTCTCTCTCTCTCTCTCTCTCTCTCTCTCTCTCTCTCTCTCTCTCTCTCTCACGCATGCACAAGCGCGCGTGCGCACACACACACACATCGGGCGCAAAAAGAACTCCTGACCTATTTAATCACAATTATTTATCATTTTTGGGGGTGAGGGCTGACAAGTGGGCAGTCATATGGGCGGATGGAGGAATGTGTGTATGGAGGGATGAATGGACAGACAGACAGGCAGACAGACAGGCCGGCATAAAGACAGACAGACAAACAGACAGTTGGATGGGAATAAACCGAAAAACAGACAGAACGAACGAAAGAAAGATGAATACAGATATGAGATAAGGAGAGAGGCAGACAAAAAGATACATATTTTGGGTATGAAAACCCTGCTGGCAGACAAGAGGAAAAATAAAACAAATATAATCATAAGCACTAGCCTCTATCTAAGCTTGCAACGAGAAGAAATAACATATTTTCTTCTTCTGAAAGTCTATGCCGTGTGGCGTTGGTAGTCTATCTAAACAACCTTCTGTCCAGTGTACTTTCAATCAACTCTGACGTAGATGATCTTCTATACCATGATGACAGACTGTCCAGCATCTGTTCTCTTCTCTCCCTCTATCTCTCCTCCCCTCCAACTTTCCTACTGTCACGATGTATTCCAGTTTTCTCCTTCTCATCACATGACCAAAGAATGTAGATTGTCTCTTTCTGATGTGGACAATAAGTTCACTTCGTGAGTCAGTATCTTTTAAGACATCTTGATTGCTTTGTCTATCTGTCCAGGGTATTCTCATCATTCGTCTATAAAACCAGATTTCCACAGCTTCCAAATAAGTTTTCACTAATTTACTAACTGACCATGCTTTACATCCATATATCGATACAGGATTTATACAGCTTTTAAGAATTCTCTTCCTCGTCTCAATTGACAAAGAAAAATTGCATAAAATATTCTTCATTTCGTAAAATGCTGCCTTTGCTTGAGCTATTCCACATTTAACTTCTTTGATACATCTTCCATCTGATGTTGTCAGGGTACTCAAGTACTTAAACATATCAACCTGCTTGAGCTATTCCACATTTAACTTCTTTGATACATCTTCCATCTGATGTTGTCAGGGTACCCAAGTACTTAAACATATCAACCTGCTTGAGCTATTCCACATTTAACTTCTTTGATACATCTTCCATCTGATGTTGTCAGGGTACTCAAGTACTTAAACATATCAACCTGCTTGAGCTATTCCACATTTAACTTCTTTGATACATCTTCCATCTGATGTTGTCAGGGTACCCAAGTACTTAAACATATCAACCTGCTTGAGCTATTCCACATTTAACTTCTTTGATACATCTTCCATCTGATGTTGTCAGGGTACTCAAGTACTTAAACATATCAACCTGCTTGAGCTATTTCACATTCAACTTCTTTGATACATCTTCCATCTGATGTTGTCAGGGTACCCAAGTACTTAAACATATCAACCTGCTTGAGCTATTCCACATTTAACTTCTTTGATACATCTTCCATCTGATGTTGTCAGGGTACTCAAGTACTTAAACATATCAACCTGCTTGACTTGCTTGTCTCATTTACTTTGATTTTGCATTTTGTGGGGTCAGTTTTCTTTGTAATTACCAATACTTCTGTTTTTCTGATGTTCAAACTAAGATCCTTGTTTTCATTTTCTGTTACAATTATATCCATCATTTCTTGCAGTTTTGTTTCATTTTCAGTGATCAAAACTATATCGTCAGCATATCTCAGGTTGTTAACAATATGCGCACCAACCGATATTCCTGGCATACCATGTATGGATCTAATTATAATGTCACTGTACAAACTGAATAAATCGGGTGATAGTACATATCCCTGTCTAACGACTTTTTTTAAGTTTTAAAAAGTTCCAACTTGGTTGTCAATCCCCATAGCTGCTTCTTGTTGCCAGTATATGGGTTTTTTTTTTTAAAATTATTCTCAGATCTTTACCGTCAATGTTTAAAGTTTCAAAAATTGTAATAAATTCTTCATGTTTCACTATATCAAATGATTTAG